ATTATAAACTATATTTGGGTGCGTTCCCTGATATAATTTTTGATAAAATATATGACTGTGATTGAGATCTAGTGTAATAGGTCTAGTAAACTGCTTCTTGAGTAAGTTAAGTTTAAAGTTTAGTTTTAATTTTCAAAAAAGAAATGCAATATTTTATTCTTTCTATTATATTATTGAAGCTAATTGAGCTACATTGAGCAAATTTTAAATAAAATGTTATGTTTTTAGTGTTACACTTTTTTCCATTTTGATATGAGCGCACAAAACTTTGGCGCAAACCATTCTTCAATTAAAAAACACTTATTTCAGTTTTCTTTTTATATATTTTATTAATTTTATTTAATAAAATTATTATAATTAATATTAATATTTATCATTAAAATAATATTACATTAAAAATTAGGAAATTTTACATTTTTTATTTTTATTTTTTTTTAAATATTTTTATAATTTTTTATTATTTTTTTTTATTTTATTTTTTTTTTTTTGAATTTCTTTAAAATTTATACTTACTTAAAAGTAAAAATTAAAGAAATTTTATTGCTTTTTATTTATTTTTTTTTTAATTATAATTAATAAAATTTTTAATACATTTTTTTTATATTGAATTAATTAATACAAATTTATATAAAATAATATTTATTATATTGAAAATTATTTAAATAAATTAATTTTAAAAATTGATTTTTTTTTTTTCGTAAAATATAAGAATTTCTAGTCTTAATAAAAATTAAATAATTTTTTTTTTCTTTTATATTTTTATAATTCAAATAATTTTGGTTCTAGTTCATAATTTTAAATAAATTTTTAATTTTTAATACAAAACAAAATATTTAAAAAAAAAAAATGTAAAATAGAATTCATTTAAAAATTTTTGTCACAAGATGGCATCAGAGTGGAATTTTTTCAAACGAAAATAATAAAATATGGTAAGACTAGAATCTTAAAAATTATTTTAAACAAAATTTAAAATTTAAAGTGAGATTAATTAATTTTTTTTTTTCATATATTTTTTTTTGTTTAAAAATATATATAGTTATTAAATATGTAGGTATACTGATTTTTAATATTGATATGGGATTTTTATAAAATTTTTAGAACAATTGTTTTATATTTTACCTTTATCCAAATATTTCACTCCTTTTTATTAAATATTTTCTTTTTAAACTATAAAATATCAAAGTGTTTTGGGTTAAAAGAACAAAAAGTTTGTACTTAATTGATCTTTTATTTGATTTTTTGTTTTTTGTAATTTACGGTGAAAATATAATAATATACTGTTTCTGTAATGTTAATTGTTATACAAAACAAAAAAAATAAATAAGGTAATAACTTTTCTAATTATGAGAACAAACAATAAATTCTTCTTAAATGTGGAGAATTTTATTTATCATATACATATGGAAATAATTTGGAAATAATCGACGACATTGGCAACACTAATAATGTATAAATATTTTCTGTCACTTATCGTTTTCATAACAAGTGACAAATATATTGGTGGCAGTGACACAACAAAAATTTTTTTTTAATTAAGTAGGAAGCTTGTTCTTTGCTAAATATTCATATAAAGCATATTATATTGTAAAATCGATCGCTGGGACTTTATACGATGTGCAATTTATAATTTTTAAAAACTTGTCTATATTATGTATAATAATAATTCTGGAATCTTATTTTCTTGAAAAATTATAAAATGTTTTTATTTAATTTACAATCACTAATTAAATAAAATAAATTTGTAAACTGTTATGAACTGGAAAAAGCTAATTATTATTCAAGAGAATTTTTAAAAATAAAATTTTAAGATTTTCATTTTAGTCGTGCTTTGAAAATTCATGAATTGAAATAATTTGATTTTTCATTCAAAAAAGGTGAATATTTATTATTATATTATATAAGAGCTGATTGAAATATAGTATTAAATTGGATTATAAATTGAATTAGAACACTATTCTTATAGTAATATATTGACTACGTTCTTTAAACAACAATATCTGGCAATGACTATTAACAAACAGTAAATCAAGCGGATTTGAAATTAAGTTATAGTTTCCAATTTCACGCCAACTTTTGAATTAATTATTCAAAATTATTTCAAGAATAAATTTCCATTGTTCAGAATGTGTTCATTTACGATATTGTTAATTTAATGTAGAGTATGTATGTATGTAAAATTACATAATGTAGAATATTTAAATTGACCAAATAAATACAAATTGTTAATTTTCATTGTTACCTTATTCATTTTTTGTTTTCTATGCAATTAATTCTTTTGGTCCAATTTATTTCTTTTGTATAAATAATATTTTTCGGCATATTTTCGGCATTCTTAAGTATCTTTTAAAAATTGCAATTCTTGAAAATTTTATTTATATAAAAAGTTAAAATTATTGAATGCAAAATAATTTTATATGAAATTCTTCTCTATTTAATTTTCAACTTATTTTTGTATTTTATTCATTTAATACTAAAGTATTTTGTTTTAAACTCTTTCTATATTATTATTATTCTTATTAAAAAAAAAAAAAGTTCAATATTTACAAAAATAGCAAAAAAAATTTCAAATTTTTCAATTCATTGCCAAAAAATGAAAAATATGAAATTTTTTATGTTGCACTGGGAAAAATTTTTTTCGTATATTTCTTTATAATTTTCATCTGTTTTCATTAAAAATATATAATAATATTATTTAAATAATAAATTTTAATAATTATTTTAATTTTTCTCTTAACATCTAATTCAAAAATACATTAATTTTTATGGAATATTTTTCTTTTTGTAAATTTATGTATAAATATTTTTTTGTTTTTTAATTGTAATTATAACATGTATAAGTATTTCGTCCATACATTTCAAAATGACCTGATCTGTAAGCAAAAAAGAGAAAATAATAAAAGGAAAATGATGATATAATAATGGTAATTAAGCAATTAAAAATTTTGAAAAAATAATAAAAAAAAAAAAAAATACAAAAACTAAAAAAACAAAATAATCAATTAATTTTGAATTAAAAATTTCATAAAAAAAAATTTTAATTTTTTTTAATTAATTAAAAAATTTTAATAAAATATTGACATGCAAAATTTCCCATTATTTTATACCTTCAAAATTCATATCCATATACATTATTATAAACCTTTCCATAATTCTAAATTATTTGAATAGACGATATTTATAATATTATTTATATATAGGCTCTACTCTATAATAATAACAATAAATTGTTAGTTTCAATATTGAACTTATAATATATATTTTGCATATTTTCGGGCGTTTTTAATTGAAATTAAAATTCGTTTTATATTTTTTTGCAATCTTTATAATTAATTATGTTATAAAAAAATTTAATGAGATTGAAGAAATTTATTCAAGTCACCAAATATACATATGAGTTTTTTTATTGTAATAAATTGTAATTTTTCCAAAACTTATATGACCGGCAAGCCATAATATAAACCGCTATTAAATAATTCGATTCATAAATATTTTTTTTATTTAGCATAATTCAAAATCAAAGTCAAGAGAATTGAAATTGCATAGTAAAACATTGACATTTATGTTAAATGTCATTTGCAAATTTTCGAATTAAATTTTTTTTATTATTAAAATGATTTAATAATGCAATTTATTTTTGCGCAATCGATACTTCAAAAATTAAAATTATTATTGTTCGCTAGCATGGCATTTGGCAAGACAATACGGCATTAACATATTAATACAATTTGACGATAATTATAGTTATAAATTTTTTTCTTTTTCACTCCTAGGAGGAGCATAGGGCTATAGTGTATGATATCATAAATAGTCATGCTCCAGTTGCATTGCGTCATACAAGTAGTTTTCTGACGTAGTTTTTTCTTTATATTAAATATTTAAGGCAATTAACATTTATTGTTTATTTTTCTTATTTTTGTAATATCGAATATTAATAATATATCAATTTACTTGTATACTAATTTGTTATTTATAAAAGTAATGTATATTAAGCTACAATACTGAATATAAATTTTATAGTAACCTGACCGGAGTTTGAATCACTGACCGGGGTTTGAATCCCTGATCGGGGTTTGAACCCGAGACTCTGCCTTCAGTTAAAGGACCATAACCACTGCACCATCGATCAGGTGCACCATTGCACAGTTTTAAATAGTCCAAATTAATTAAGAACAAAATTTACAAGTTTATAATATAATGTAACGCCTTCAGATATGCAAAATAATCATTACCATATTATGTATATAAGAAAAGGAAAGAACCTTTAACTACGATACAAAATCTTTATAACAAAATCATATTATTATTTTATATAAAGTATTTGAATTTTTTTTTCATTTTAATTTATTTATTTTAATTTTCTCTTAAAATATTATAAATATGAAAAATTTACATTGGTCTTTCTTTTTTATTTTTTTGTATATTAAATTAAATTTAAATATATTATTTAAATTTAATTAAAAACAAAATTCCAAATTAGTGTTGCCATATTACCATATTTAAAATGAAATATATAAAAACTATAAATTTTTGTTATTTTTAATTTTCTCCGTGTATTTTCGAATCTTGGAATCTATAGAATTGAAATTCTTATATCAATTTTTCTTTTTTTTTTTTTAATATTTTTTTTTTTCATTGTTTATTTATTTTTAATGTAAGACAGCCATCAAAATTTTTGTTAAATTAAAATACATATATGTAATTAATAATTTGTATTTAATATTTTTTAAAATTAATTTTATAACAACAATGTGTTAACATTTTGGATTTCAATTTTTTTTTTTTGTATACTAGCTAGATCATAAAATATTTTTTTTGTTATATTTAAAATTATTATTATTTTTCGTTTTTTTTTTTGGAAGTAATAAATTATTTAGATCTTAATTATCAAGAAATAAAAAAATTAATTTGGCATCTTATAAATTATAAATAAATTTAGAAATTTATAACACAAAAAAAAATTATTTTTATTGCAATTATGTAAAAATGTGTAGGTTTAGATTTCCCAAAATAATAATTAAAATATTATAATAATAATAATTAGAAGGAATTTTTATTTATATAAAATGACAAATACAACTAAATTATGACCAAAATATATATGTATGTATAGGTATTTTATATTATTTATATATAAATAAAATAAAAAAAAATTAATAAAATTATAAGTCAGATCAAAATCATAATTAATTATAGAATTTGATACCCCACCTTCACCACAGATAGAGATCATTACAAAATTTTATTGAATATTTTTTTATTTTTAATTTAAAATTAATTTTTTTTTTTATATTTCATTATTAAATAATATTTGTTTTTTATAATTATTTGGGTATTGTATACAAAATTGTTTTTATTAATTTTACTTTATATTTTTTTTACAATTCTATTTTTCATAATTACGCTCATTCGTTTTGTATTGGTGAGTTTATACTGAAACTATTTTTTAAATTTTTTTTACATTTTAAATTTTTTTGCATATTCAATTTGTGTATTCCATTAATTAATTTATAAAAAATTCTTAATATTTTCATTTTTAAATTCTTTCTTTATTCAATTTCCAATATTTTTAAATATTTTATTAATAAAATTAAATTCCATTGCTTATAAATTTATTATTAATCAAAAAAAAAAATTAATATGAAAAAAAAAACTTTGTTTTTTTTTTTTTATTTATGGCATAATTTTATATGTTAATTAATTTGCGTGTGCTTACCGCCAAACACACTGACTACATCTACAAAAAAAAAGAAGAAAAAAAATAATAAAATAAAAAAAAATTTTAAAAAATATATTATTAATAAAAAATAAAAACATTTAACCAAAATTAAAATATAATATTAAATTGTAATAATTAAAAATCAAATAAATTAAAAAAAAATGGTCAATATAATCAAAAATAAAATTTCCAAAAAAAAAATAATAAAATATTTTAGCCAAACACAAGTAAAATGGTTATTCTGACAGAAAAAAAAAATTATATGTCAAAAAAATTATTACCTTAATACAAACGGGAGAGCCATCTATCGTTTTCTTGAGCAGTTAAATTTAAATAAAATGCCGTCAATTCGCGACAAGTTAATATTCAACTGACATTATGTGTCACATAAGTGGCACTGAGTTTTGTTTTTTAAAAATAAACTATAAATAGCTCACCCCTTATATTTTTAATACAATTTTTTTTTATTCTAACCCCTGTTACACCCTAATTTAATATTTTCAAAATTGAGAATAAAATTGTTATAATATAATTTTAATTATAAAAATATTATATAATTCTAATATATATGTATATTGTGCCTCTATACATTAATAAAATAAAAATATATTGTGCATATATATAAATATTATACTTGTGCATTTATAAAAAAATTATAAAAATATTTTAAAATTAGAAAAAATAGTAATAACCATATGTATATAAAAGTAATGTGCTATAATAAATAAATTAAATAGTGCAAAACAAAAATCAATTTGAATAATCTTATAGAATAATATTGATAACAAAAATGTACTCCAGTTCACAGGGAAATGCCAAATTTATAGGGAATTTAATTGTTTTATTAATGAGATTTTTATTAATTGACAATTTGATTTGTGAAAACTCTTTATATATCTAAAAGCCAAAACTCTAAACTATTCTCTCTAAAAGCCAAAACTCTAAAAATTGAGCTAAAAATCATTTAACAATCTGCACACTCGTCCGTATTCTCTTTCAGCTCTCCTTATTTCATTTCACATACTACACTCCCTTTTCCATAAAAAATCTTATTTAACAAAAGGTAAGAATCCATTATTTAACCAACATTTTCAACTTTCAAGAGAAATAAAAGCAGGTGTGCCTCAAGGCAGCATATTTGGCGATACTACAACATTGGCAGTAGGAGCGAACATTGACGTTTCGACAAAAAAAATTACAGGAGGTAAGTAACAAAATAAGAAAGTGGATTAGGGATTGGAAAATTAATTTGAATGAAGCAAAATCGGTTCACATAAACTTCACCAACCGGAAAATAGTGAATCCACCACAAATTAACTTAAATGTAACAAACGTAACGATCCATAACTCAGTAAAATACCTAGGAATGACTTTAGATGTCAAGCTAAGGTGGAAAGAGCATATAAAGAAGAAACACATAGAATTATAAAATAAATATAGAGAAAATTATTGGCTCCTAGGTCGTAAGTCCAATTTGGCAATTGATAATAAGATATTAATTTATAGCTAAATCATTAAACCAATATGGCTATATGGCATCCAACTGTAGGGTTGTGCCAAAAAGAACTCACATTAACAAAATTCAAACCTTCCAGAATAAAGTTCTACGGGGCATGGTAAATGCGCCATACGTGTATACATAACAGTGATATCCACAGGGATTTAGGAATTCCTTTGGTTGTAGATGAAATTAGAAGTTGTGCTACAAAGCATAGGCCTCATCTAAAACAGCATGTAAATATGAAAGCTCGGCTGCTAGACAATGATGTTATGACAGAAAGACTTAAGCGAACAAGACCTTTGAATTTAACGCGAAATATCAATTTCCTTATGGAAGGTATTTAATTCCTGTACGGAAAAACCAAGTTATCACAGAGGTAATAATTGGTCTTTAGGACCAGTTTTATTCGTTCAGAGTTTATAAGATTTTTTAGGGTAGGAGTCACGCTCCCCTACTGTCGGAGGAAAAAGGCAGATAGCGCCATCCTTCTTCGCCTTTCGAGATTTTTTCACCTAGTAGAAAAAAAGAAATCTACTTTTAAATACTTTTAATAGAAGAAAGCATAATATCCATATAGAAGGCTTTTCTGCAAATCTATCTCATGTAATAAGTAATTAAACGGTTATGAAAGAAATTGTGTAGCATACCGTAAACCCCAAAGATTAATAAATAAGAAAATATCAAAAAATTTTCATCAAACGTTTGCTAACATAATTTTTACCGAAAAATTACCAAATTTTTCTTTAAATTTGGCTTAACAAAAAAATAAACTCAAATTGAATAATTTCAAATGATTTCTGTAATAAACTTAATCAAATTTAATATTAATAATCCAACTAAATAACACTCTTTTTTTAATATTATAAATATAAATGGAATTCATTTAATTAAATAATATTTACGAATAGAAAAAAAAAACAAATAAAGTGAAAAAAAAAAACAAAAATTTATAAAATATACCGCATTTTTATGACATCAAATAAAATCTAATAAAACCGAAATAACCTTTTTTTTTCATTTATTTCATGTCTTTATTATCGCGTCTATATACACATAATTATATAATTTGTGCATTAGAGTCATATTATAACACCAATAAATAGTTGTTTAATATTAAATTAAATTTGTTTTTAAAAAAGTGCATTAAGAATTTTAAGAAAGAAAAAATTTTTAGACTTACAAAACAAATTTTGTCGGCATTTACAATTTTGATCAAAAAATAAAACGCTATAATATTTGAAGAAATATAAAAAAATATGCTTATCATCATCACTCTTCAAATACTCAACAACAGAAAAAAAAAAACAACACTCAACTGTAATAAAAATTATTATTTAGTTACAACAAATTTTCTAGACAGCATGGCTTTTTATTCAATCACCATTAAAATCATATACCTATATATACCTGCAATACACGCGTAGCTTTTTACCTATTTAAAAAATTATATTACCCATATCTTTATAACTAATAAACTAATAAATGATTTTAAAATTATTTTTCAATCATAAATGCACATACAAACATACTATGTATGCATATAATGTTACAAAACTCAATATAACATTAAAAACATCTGAGTTAAACGCTTATTAGGTCACACCATATAATTCAGAAAACCAAAAAAAAAAAAAATTATAACCGTTTATCCTATTATAAACGTTATCGTCATTATCATCACATTCGTCACAATAAATTCAAAACGTCATTTATTCTCATAATATGTCATTTATTAAAATGTAATAATTACAATAGAAAATAAATGAACATATGCGGATGTGTATAAAATGAAAATTTACAATCTATATGAAATGTTTGTAAATGATTGTATTCATTTGGATTCAAGTTATGTGAAAAAGAAATATAATAATTATATTAATTTCGTATGAAATCATCAAATACACCATCATTGTAAAGTATATATAGTAATAAGAGTGATGATTATTAAAATATAAGTACTCAATGATTTTAACCTCCAATTCAAAATCATAATTCCATATAATTCCCACCACCTAATCATTTTCTCTTTTTTGTTTTGTATAACCAGTATTTTTTATTATGAGTTTCTCTTCTTCCATTTCATCTCTCTTGTCCTTCCCTAATACAAACGCTTGTCATCACTCATAACATTTTTCACCACTCTTCTCTCATTTTTTTCTAATCTACACATTTCAATATGTTTAGGAATTATAAACAAGTATTCTATAACTATATGTATATGCGCTCTTATAACACGCATCAACAACGGTATACATCTCATTTAGTACACATCAATATACAGTAATGTAATTGTTTACATTTTTACCCATGCACGTAATTGTAATGTGCATTATGTTTATTAATAATAAAATGTAGCAATTGAAATTTGAAAAAAGAACAAAAAAAAATCTGTTCGTACGCCGCATTTCATTTGAATATACCGCTCTATATCTACCTACACAGTACGCAATATATACACAAGTTCGTTCAGATTATTATAGATAATGAGTGTATATGAAAATTAAATGTGTAAATAAAACTTATAAATAGGAAAATAAAAATAATCCCCAAAATAAATAACCTTTAAAATATAATGCACATGAATTTACTTATTGTATAACATTTTCAAATTTAAAATAAAATTGGTATACAAATTTTGAATGGTGTAAGAATATTTATGAAATGGTTTGAAATAGCTATCACATTTACTACCCTACCGTAATAAAATATTAAAAAAAAAAAAAAGTGTAACTAGTAATACGAACCATATTCAACTTTTCAAATTCACAATTTACCTTATATTTCTCATCGTAGACAATAATTTCGTAAAAATTCTCTAATATTTTTCGGAATTTTTATAGAATAGTGTACATAATTTGAAAATGACTGGGCTTAAATTCAATTTACTTATGAATTTCTTCATATATGTCGTATTCTGTTAGTAACGATTCGAATTTGTTACGTATAAAACTAAATTTTAGTTGACATTAGAAATCACAAGTGTTCTTACTTTGAAAATGATTATCAAGTGTTTATTATAGCCTTATTATAATTGAAACGTTGAAATAACACTAAAAATACGTAAATTATAAAACATACATGGATGTATACATAAATTTCTAAAAAAAGAAATAATAAATAGTAGTAAAAAATTGCATATCTTTTGGCGCTTTTACATAATAACAATTATTACAATGTATTAATTGAAACATACACGTTTTATTTGTTATTATTTAAGTGTAAACGTACTACGTTTGCTGTAAAGAAATTTATCATCTCTATTCATTCGGATAATTTTCAAGTTTTTAGGCAAATGTATTAATTTGTATGTATTTTGTTGTACGGTAACACTACCACCATTTATGTTATATGGTAAGTACTTTGTATATATACTCGTATATACTCGTATATGTATACAAATACATCTATAGGCAAATGCAGAATAAAAGGAAATTTGTAACATAACATTAAAAAAATAATAACATTAATTTTTTTAGCTTGAATAGCGTAAGAAAAGGTATAAAACCAAAAACAAACCGAAAATTAAGGTGTGCAAACATAAAACAAATAATAACAAACAACCTGATTTTGTTTCTCTTTTTTTTTATTTTCATTGTTTCTTTGTTTTTAAAACAAATTTATTTTAAGTTTTTATTTTTTTTTTCTTAAATTATGTGTTTTATTATTTTCTGTTGTTGATATTAGGATATAACCATCAATTATCTTGAAAATTATTTGTTTATTTAATATTTAACAATCATTAGTCAGAGTTACGATTAAATCCCGTTTGCTTTTAACATAAAGAAATCAAGACACAAAAAGAAGACAAAAATTTAATTTAGAAATTATTTAATTATTAATTTCCGTTTTAAAAAAAGAAATTATTTATTTAATTTCAACAATAATAATAATTTTGAGCAAAAATAATAATTATCTAACAAAATTCACACCTTCTCTTAATTTATTGCAAAAAAAAATTGAAGAGCAAATTTGATAACAAATTATTTTGTATTGAGATGATTTTTCTGAGTGTTTAATGAAATTTTTAAATGACGGCGCCTTCAGATATGCAATTTTTGTCAATAGCAAATTTTTTTTTGCTATTTTAATTACTTTAATTTTTATATTTAATTATTTTCATTTAATAATTATTTACGAAATTTAAAAATTTTTCCTTAATTTAAAATCATAAAATTATGTTATAGCTGAATTCGACTTAAAATTATTAGATTTAACTGAAGCCGCGTGTAATGCCGCAATATGAAACTCAAAAAAATGTTCACAAACTATTAAAAATATTTCAAATAGAAACAAAAGTTTTAAAATTTTTAATTTTATTTTTGGTTTTAAATTTAAAATTTATTTTAATTTTAGTTTTCTCAGAAAATTTTTAAAAATTTTTATAAGAATTTTTATAAATCAACCGTACCATTCACAAGAAAACTCCTTTGCCTTATAAACTTTAAATATTTTTTGTTATACCACTCATTTTATTTGGATTTGTGTGAGTAATAATGTAAAAATTATATAAAATTTTATTTTCCCTTAATATATTTGTGGTTAAATATTTTACGTAAACTCTTTTGTTTAAAAATAAAATTTATGAAATAAATTTTGTAAAAAATAAAAATTTATTTTATTGCGATTAAATAAATTTTTAGCATTTTCTTAGTATTTTAAATAAATTTGGAATTTTATACTTTATGTATACTTTAAGAAGAATTTTAGTGCCTCCTCAACTCAACAAACCGAAAAATCAAATGTAAACGTATAACGTATGTATACTAAGAAATTTACAAAAATTCGGTCATTTGATAAAAATTTGGCCTTTTTAATTGAAAAATTAAAAATATTTGAGAGTACCCTAAAATAATCGCATTAAAATTAAAGTTTCCAAATTTTTTTCAACTAACTACTAAGCCTAATATTTGTAAAACCAATCGTATTTGAATCGTTTGAAGAGCTTCCAAATGTTCGTCAGTCTAGGTTTATTTTAAAATGTACAGCTTTCAGTAAAATATTCAAATACAACTTCCACTACATTGTTTAGTAGTTATTTTACGCAAACTAATCAACAGTTAAGTATTACTATTAATATTATTAATGTCATATTTGTTTTGAGTAATTTCTCATCACTTGAAACTCATCAGTCACTTTAATTCTAGTATGATTTGCCGCTTTATGATTTATCGAACATTTATAGAAACATCGGTTTTAACTCGATGTATTCTTAATATTAAACCTCAATTATTTCAACATATAATTTTTATTAAAATTAATAATAATAAAATTAATAAAATTTTGAAAAATTTACTATAATAATTTTATTTTAATAAATTTTAAAAAATTTTGTAATAATCAAATTTTCAATAAAGAAAAATAATTTCAATAAAATTACAAAAAAAAAATAAACTTTTAATAACACAAAAATAAATCTTAAAAATTACTTACCTATGTTGACGATAATTATCCTGACGTTTAAAATATTTTCCACAAATTTCACATGAATATGTTATTTCAGGACTTTTATGAGTTCTCTCATGTATCATTAAATTGTATGGTTTTGTAAATCTACGTTGACAAAATTTACAAATGAATTCACATTTTGGTCGCATTTTGCGACGAAAATCTGACCTGCAGTCATCATTATCAATTCTCATTACTGCGAACATTGTAATTGAGCTTTTTTCTTAACTTCTCTTACTCCCAAAATAATAATAATAATAAAAAAAAAAACAAAATGTTTTTTTTTTGTTGTACAACAGTGAATATTATATTCTCTCAGCTTGCTTATATTTTGTTTTTGATCTCCTTTTCTTTTCTCTCCTTCGATATTTTTCCTCTCTATTTTAGAAATTTTATAAAGAATTTCTCTGTATTTTAATTTAAGCTTTTTTGAACAGTAAAAAATTTATTTGTTTTTGTTGTTTTATTATATTTTTATTTTTTCTTATATATTCTCAGCAATAAAAGCACAGTGCTCCTCTATATTCTTATATCATGCAAATTTATTATTATAAAGCAGGCAAAGGTGTTTTTTATTTATTAAATTTTATTATATTTTATTTAATAAAGATAAAAATTATCTTTCGGTATACTTTCTTTTCATTTATTTAGCTTTTTATTAAATAGTTATTTTGGATTTTATTATATTTAAGAAAAAAAATGTCGTAGAAAATTCAAATGAAATTTTATTTTTGTCAAATTTCTGAAAAGAAAAATAATATAATTAGTTAAATATTTTAAAAAAAATTTTAAATAAATTATTAATTAGCTAGTAAAATGTAAACTATTTCAAATCAAATATACTAAACATGAAATGCAGTTAAAATAATGAAAGGGAAATGTAAGACGCATTTAATATGTAATATTAATTAATCAAATCAAACATAATTGCTTGAAAATTTAAGGGTTCAGGCAAACATGCAATTACTGCTTGATTTTAAAATCATTCCGTCTCGACAATTAAACAATTGCGTCAATTCAAATTGAATGAATTACCTAAAAATTGCAATGAGTTTGTACAAAATTATAAACGGTTTGATTGCATGTGATCATACAGTTGCATATGTGCGCGCTTAAATTTTATATTTATATGATATAAAAAGAGCAATCAAACAGTTGCCAAACTAAAAATTGCGTATCTCCCGGAGCCGGAAAACCCCAAATTTCTTACTTATATACATAATTAATATTATTGTGTAGGAAGTTGTTATAAAATTGGATAAAATTTTATTTTAAACCAATTTATTTTTTTTTGTTCTTCTTTCATTCATCAATTATATACAACAAGTAAAATAAAACAAGAAGAAGTGGAGATTTTAACAGTTTCGGTTTCTATAATGATCAAAAATTAACATAAAATCATTTTTTAATTCAAAAATTCTAATTAACTAAAACTAGTATAAGATTTGAGTAATAAAAATTATTACAGGAACAAACCATCTAAAACCGGTTATTAATTTCAAATTTCAGGTGTTATATTACGATTGTCATTTATTAACCAATAATAATAAAACAAAAAAAAAAACAAAATTTTCTATTAAATTAAATTTTGAAAGATTCATAACTCTTAATTTAGACTACTTTATATAATTATGTTCTTCATTAATGATTTCAGAACGCGTGAAATTCAATTTCTGTCTAGTTATATACACAGCAATCAACCGAAAACGAATATATTTCGGACTGTGTGTCAACTCATTTAAATTTTTAATATAATTTTAATAATTATATTATATAGATACCTAAAAATATACATACATTATATCTATGTATATGGTCAAGTATATTCGAGATCTTATTTAAAAATTCAGTGTTGTATAGTTCTTAGGTTTTCTTTTTTGTCTCTTATATATCTCTGAGTGTATATGTTCAGAGACAAAAATTCTTGTCAAATATTAATATTATGAAACAAAAGAATATTTGGCACCCTATGGTGTTTTGAATATTTTTGATTTCATTTAAAATTTCCATATATTTGTACCTATATTTCATACATTATAATTATATATATATATCTAGTGATATATATATACGCTAGTATTTTGTGACATTTTAAAGAAGTCTACCTTGAAATAAAGTTAAATTTTCTATATTTAATTATGTGTATGAAAATTATTATGGTCTTCCCAATAGGGTGGATGATTTTTCTTGCTTTTTTTTTAATTTTTTTTTTTAAAGAAAACAAAAGTTAAATGACATCATATTTGACTATTTATTGAAAATGAAATTTATTGAAATAATTTTTTTGTTTTTTTAATTTTATCTTAAGTTTTGCGACACACAATTTTGAATTTTCAAACTTGTATACACGTACTAATATATAGAATCAGATAAAATAATTCAACCCATATATTTTTTTTAATCATTAACATAGTTTATAAAAAAAAAATATTTATAGATGACATACTTAAGTTACTATTTTGTATAGACCAAAGGTATATAGTTTTAACTTATCTAACAAATTTGTGAGTCAAAATTTGACTCAACTTTTGAATTGAGTTCAAAGTAATTATGTACGAATAATTTATTTTTATATTTTATTTGATATTTTTTTGCTTAAGTCAAAATTTACATAATTTTACTATAAATTTTAACAATAATATGATTAATTTGTGCTTTAATACATTGGAATTGGTAAATATAAGTAAAATGAAAACTAATGTGTGAAATTAAGCAAATTTTATTGGGATCGTTGTTTTAAAACAAAAAACAAAAATTGGAATTAATTAAATGATTCACTGGTTTTTTATGAAATTAGTTATACTTTTCTATATATGTAATCATAATATATTATAGAAACATAATTATAAATTAGAAAAAGTTACAACAAATTTGTACTAAACAGGAAATGAGTCCGCGTTCCTCTACGTTTGTCACTAAATTTGAACAAAAAGTGAACTGTCATCTACCATAAATTGAAAACAAAGATGTGTTGAATATGAAATGTTTTAGATATTTTGTAAATCATCTTGCATCATTGAATTTTCTAATGAATGTGCTAAAAAAATCTCTGAAGGGAAAAGGCAGTCCTATACTATTTTTAAAAGGCAGTCTATTTTTATTACTCCAAACCGAAATGAGATGCTTTTAGGCTGACGTTTGCTTTTTCATATTTCGCACGACACAACTCAAAAATGTAACTTCAACTTCCGGAATTCAAAATATTTATAGCCGAGTGTAAATTACTACCGAAGGCTCAAAATCATTGTACAATATATGAATAGATTTTCTGTAGTATTTTGTTACATTTTGTTGCATTTTGACTTATTTTATAGCTCTCGCAAATGTGCGATTTATGTGTATATATGAGTATACTTAGTCATTAGTATCAAAACCCGTTCATATTTTCCAAACATATTCAAATTGTTCATCTCCCGATAGCTAAGAATGTGCGAAAAAAAATTCAGTTGGAATAAAATATGATTACTTAGTACGTCATAAGTAAGCATGATTCAACGTAAGAGAATATTTCCTCTATTATTAAAAATTTATGTAATTAAAATTATTAAATTCAAATCATCAATTAACTATACCGCCGTCGGGTAATTTTCACTCATTGTAGCTAAATTAATTCCACATGAATAAAACTTTCTTTTAAGTAGTATATCACCTGTTTTTTAAAAATTACCCCTTATAAATAAAAATTCGCTCTATAAATTCTCATTTAATTTGATTAATTCGCTGAAAAGCAAAAATAATTAAAATATTACTCGAGTTATTTGTCAAACACACCATTAAATTATTAACACCATTCTCTGTATTAAGTATACAAAATTAAGTCAAGTATAACTAAGTTAATCCTGATTTAAATGTATAATTAATTATAATTATATTTTGTTGCTCAAATCCAAAAATATCCGTAAGATTTTTTGCAAATATTTGTGTTGATATTTTAAGATTTCCATCTAAAATCAAAATATAAAATTTATAATTTTTTATTGTAAAATATAAAATTTTCCCACAAATATTAATTTTTATTTTTCTTAAAAAAATTCTTTTTATACAAATTCAGTAGTAATAAATCTTTACATATTTATTATATTAATAAAAAAACAAAAATTTTTTTCTTTGAAATTTATAAAAAAAAACCATAAATATCCTTAAGTAATAAAAACATATTCAATATTTTTTTTTTGTTTCTTTGCTCCCAAAATACCCATAATATATTATATGACAGTGCTAACAAGATTCCATTTGTCTCCAAAACTGCTATAATAATTCTTTTTCAATATAATAAAATTTGCAAATTATTCAGGATTATTAAAAATTTTGTGCATATTGTGAGTATGTGTATGTGTCTATGCACATATTTGTAAACGATATGTACATAGATACTTATGTAAACAATATGTACATACATACATATTAATAAACAATATGTACATACATACTTAATTAAGGCAACTATAAAACTACGTTGTCTCAAATCTCAAATTTAGTAAAAATGTGATAACTGGCAAGCGAAATGTATATCGGACAGCGTATAACCAAATCCCAACTACTCCGGACAACGATCATGACTTAATCATCAATATTTGTTTAATTCTGTAATCGAATTCAATTATGACCACGACTCCAACTCGAAATTAAATGTTAAAAACCAATTTTCTTATTACTCTAATTCGAACACTACGCAAACATTTAAATAACCTTAAAAAACCTCAACTACTCTATTTTTATTGGGACTCTACAACACTTTTACAATAATATTTTTTGAATTTAAGAGAAGCTCTTAAGCTTCGAAAACCGTAATTTAATAAAAACAAATGGCTATGCCGTATTTTGATCAATTCTAGTGTGGGTAATTACCCTCCCTTAATTACTTTAAAATTCCGAGTAAATACACTCACTTTTTACTTCATATGTCATTCAATATACAGTTTTGTCTTAAACTTAAAAACTCTCATAATGTAAATTTTTGATATATAACAGTTATGTCCTAAATTCCATCATATTAAACACCATAATAGAATGTAGGTAGACTTTTTTAACAAATATATTTTTTTTTTTAATAAATTTGAAACGCCAGTGGCTATTATAAACTTTTGTCCCCCCAGAAAAAGAAAAATATTAAAAAAAAAAAATCTCATAATTTTCATCCAAGAAACAAATATGAAACAAAAAAAAAAAAAACAAAACACCAAAAAGCCGTAAATATTTTAGTTAATAAGGTTTTTTTTTATTGGTATTTGTTTGTCTCTTAAAGAGCAGAAAACAAATTTATAGTCCTTTAAGAAAAAAAGAAATCCATAAAAAAATTAAATTTGCAAAAAAAAATTCTTAAAAGAATTTCAATTTTCGAATAATATTGAAAGTCCACTAAAATACGCCGGATTCCAAAGTTTAAAAATTCAAATATGAAAAAATTTTTAATAAGCACAACAACAAAATGGAAAAAAGTAATAAGGACTGGGACAAAATAAGTTCCAAAAAGAGTTCCAGCTGTGAAGTTAGTCATAATTATTTGGTTTTTGATAATTTGGTAAACGGTTTTTTTTTCTCTTGTTTTTTTTTTTTTGCTTGGTTTATCACAGTTATAAAAGGATTTAATTTTCTTATGATTGAAATTTATTAAGAATATTGTGATGTTTATGGTTTAAAATTGACTTTGAAAAAAAAAAAATTAAAAAATTATTAATATGTGAATAAAATGATGGTATTATTGGCGCTTAAAACTGATTATATATGAATAAATATTTTATT